AATCATGCCCTTACAGAAGAAAGACTGAGCTTTGCTGGTAAAACTGTTTTATCAGAATGGCAGCAATAGCTTAGTCATATTTGAGAAACACTGCTAATTAAGGGTTAATTAAAATGGCAACATAAAAATTACAAGATAGTTAGTTAATATTTAACTAGTGTTTTTTATGTATTTATTAATAAAATAGATCTTGTTTTTAATTACTAATATTTTTTATTAAATTAAATACCATCTACATATACTCTACTTACCCCAAAAATTTTTAAAAATAAATAAAGACATAATGTTGATGATGATGTGACTAGACATAAAGATAATGTAACTTAATAAACATATGCATAAAGTTAAGTATATTGCAAATAGAAGAAAGCTATATTTTAACTAGTTAAAAATTGAAATTGATGAAATTATTCTGTTAATTTTATGGTAGCAATGTGGAGTTGAAATTTTTTGAATGCATTCCTGACAATAATTACTACGAGGGATGATATTGATTTGATATATAAAAGTGCCATTTTTCTTGATCTTAATATAACTGGAAAAATTTCATTTTTGATACCAACATGATCCATTTTGATATTCAATGCATCTGGTTTCAATTAAAGAAAAATAAATGTTTAAAATATTTTCCTATTTCTTATTACATAGTAAGGAGTTTTTGTAATCTGTTAAAGTCTACTTTTGAATTTTCTTTACAAATTTCTTTAGTTAGAAAATCAATTGATAATTTTTTTTCTCTAATTAATGTGTGTATGTGCAATTCAATTTTTTACTTTTATTCCTTTAAGATATGTTTCATAAAATTCCTTTCATTCAAGGTATTTTAAAAATTTTTACTACATATAGTTTATTACCATATTTCCTTGAATTGGCACAGGGACTTGATTAGACACCTACCTTGAATGACTGCTTAGGATTTTGATCAATGAAAATGAATAAGTAACTATCTCAAATAAGTGGTGGGTGTTTAATTTTAATCACATTCAAATAAAAAGTTTGCAAAATTTTGCAGATTTTCACATTACCAATATTGAATGTTTCATTTCAGGTTATGGTAAACTACAACATTGATGAGAACACATTTTCAGAAAAATTCATGTAAAATATGATATTGCACAGTTCTCATGTATGATGATATTTTCATATCAATGATATGATGTCGTATAAAAATGGTTGTCTTTTACTGGTATTTTCCAGTAGTATTTATTGTTGTGATTAGTTAGACTATTGAGAAAATCACACAGTAAGTTGAAGAAAATAATTGTTCAACAAATGGTGGAATATCAGCACCGTAGTAATGTAACACCAACTCGTATTTCTAAACCTTTTACCGGTGCATGTATTATCTCACTCTATAACAGTTACAAACATTTTCAAGCCGTTACGGTTCTTCTTCAGGTACCGATCCCCTAATGGAATGCAGTTCAACAATGCTACGAAATACGATCCGAAACGATGTCCCGAATTGTATTTCATAGCATCGTTGAACTGCATTCCATTAGGGAATCGGTACCTGAAGAAGAACCATAATGGTTCTTCTTCAGGTACCGACAGGAAACGTTTGTAACTGTTATAGAGTGAGATAATACGCGCACCGGTAAAAGGTTTAGAGATACGAGTTGGTGTGAAAATAATTGTTTTTTGTTGTTAATTTATGGTAGTAATTAAAAATAATAAAAATATACTGGCTAGTAATTGCTTTTATAATTTAGCAATAGGGTGATTGAAGTTTTTTTTTTTTTTTTGATTAAAATCTTTTTGCTTTGACAAACTGTGTTACCATACTGATACAAAATGAATTACAGTAGTTAGAATAATCAATGTGTAAAAATTAAGTGCTGGATCTTGAATAGTTGAATAAGCATTGATGATTTTGACTTTTTGAAATAAATAAGGACTTGAGAAAATATGGTATTTGTATTTTGTGTCCCTATATCCCAGTAAGTTGTACATGCAGTAGTTTGTGAAGGCATAGTAGTTGTATACATTTATCTCCACTTTCAATAAATATTAAACTCCTAGTGTTACGAATTTCTGAATCTGATTCTTCATAATTTTAAAACCTAAGACTACATAAATTAAGTATAACAACAATAATGAAAAATTAGCTCTTAAATTTTGACTACAATACAATTTTAAGGTATTCCAAACAAAATTATAGCATTTTTTGTTGTAAATATTTGTCATTCTGTAAATATATTATAGGTCAGGAATTATCATTTTACATAAAATAGAAATTTGTTAATCCAGCACATGATAATCTTGAATATTTAGTAAACTGGCACCTCTGACAAATAGCTATAATCCAGAAATGCCCAATAATAATCTGGCATGCTAGTATTCCACAAATTGGAATTCTTAGATGCATGGCCTGCTGGACCAACTAGAAATATTGTACATGTTTATAAAATATTATATTGACATTTATTATGTGTTGATTTTGTGTAATAATGTGTTCATTAATATTTTTGTAAATTTTTCTGTCTTAACACCGTATAATCATGTAATATATCTTTGTCAGACTGATAAAAAATCATATACAGTATAAACAAATTGGAGGCATACAGCAGATGTGATGTACTGGTATAAAATGTACAGATTGTCTGCATGTTCAGATTGCATATAACTTACTGAATTTTGTGAAGATACAAAATCATCTGGTTATCTGTCATTATCAATAGATAATCCAACACCACTTTGTTTTATTGTTTTATTGAACTCAAAAATAGAAAAAGAAAATTTATTTGCGATAAATTATTATTTTTCGATGGCAGAACGTTAAAACAAATAGATCTATAAATGACAATATATTTCTTTGTATTATTGTTAAACAATATAAATAATTCGTTCTACAGTACAGTACATACATGTAATTATGTAAATAACAACATATATTATTAGGTCTAAATATTATAACATTTTATTTTTCAAATTTTTAAATAAATATATAAACAATTTTAAGTGAAAATTTAAATTCTTAAATTTATTATTTTAAAACAAAGTTTTAGTTATTATATATAATATAATAAATATACTTGCGTGTTTTATTTGTTCAAGCGTATATTCTTGTTCTAAATGTCAAATCTAAAAGTGTACAATAATCTTGTTCTATGAGTTTTTCGCCACTGATGTCGTGCCCTGTAGACATAGTTTCCACACTATTGCTCTTCTTGATAGACGAATAGATGTGGTTTTAATTATGGTACTACAAATAGATAGGAAGAGCACCAAACTCTAATACATCTTCTTTCCACGGCATACTTTAAATAGTTTGTATTATACAAAGCATCTTTCATTCTATTGTATCTACGGAAACTTTGGGAATGTTTCGCGTGGAATTTAGTATTTAACAAGTTGAAAACAATCTTTAATTAATTGCTTTTATTTTAAATAGAGAATAAGAAGTCTTAATTTTATCATTATTAAGATACAATATGTTTTAATTATTTGTAATTGCCATTTTAAAAATTCGTACTTATAGTAATGATATTAAATAAAATTAAAAAAAAAAAACTAAATTTGTGTAAATAAATGAATTTAAAATTAAAAAATATAGCGATTCTAAAGAGTTAGCTTATTGAAATTTGCTTCGGAATGTAATATATCCGTATGTTTAAGAATTATTTACAAAATTACTTCTGTAGTTGTTTATACAGTACTTTGATTTGCATTCTATTACTTTTTCTGTCATAGAGATTTAACAGTTTGCATTCTTGTCGTGGAATTTAGTTATAACTTGAAATTCAATCGAAGTAAGATAACATCGTTCTGATGAGTCAATATTTAATTAAAAACACTACATTTTTTTTNTTTTTTTTTTTTTTTTGATTAAAATCTTTTTGCTTTGACAAACTGTGTTACCATACTGATACAAAATGAATTACAGTAGTTAGAATAATCAATGTGTAAAAATTAAGTGCTGGATCTTGAATAGTTGAATAAGCATTGATGATTTTGACTTTTTGAAATAAATAAGGACTTGAGAAAATATGGTATTTGTATTTTGTGTCCCTATATCCCAGTAAGTTGTACATGCAGTAGTTTGTGAAGGCATAGTAGTTGTATACATTTATCTCCACTTTCAATAAATATTAAACTCCTAGTGTTACAAATTTCTGAATCTGATTCTTCATAATTTTAAAACCTAAGACTACATAAATTAAGTATAACAACAATAATGAAAAATTAGCTCTTAAATTTTGACTACAATACAATTTTAAGGTATTCCAAACAAAATTATAGCATTTTTTGTTGTAAATATTTGTCATTCTGTAAATATATTATAGGTCAGGAATTATCATTTTATATAAAATAGAAATTTGTTAATCCAGCACATGATAATCTTGAATATTTAGTAAACTGGCACCTCTGACAAATAGCTATAATCCAGAAATGCCCAATAATAATGTGGCATGCTAGTATTCCACAAATTGGAATTCTTAGATGCATGGCCTGCTGGACCAACTAGAAATATTGTACATGTTTATAAAATATTATATTGACATTTATTATGTGTTGATTTTGTGTAATAATGTGTTCATTAATATTTTTGTAAATTTTTCTGTCTTAACACAGTATAATCATGTAATATATCTTTGTCAGACTGATAAAAAAATCATATACAGTATAAACAAATTGGAGGCATACAGCAGATGTGATGTACTGGTATAAAATGTACAGATTGTCTGCATGTTCAGATTGCATATAACTTACTGAATTTTGTGAAGATACAAAATCATCTGGTTATCTGTCATTATCAATAGATAATCCAACACCACTTTGTTTTATTGTTTTATTGAACTCAAAAATAGAAAAAAAAAATTTATTTTCTATTTATATTTTTTATTTCAGTAATTTAAAATTAAAAATCCATCTTCGATATCTATAATAATTTTTTGTTTTTTAATGGATTATCAAGATTTATTATCTATAAATTTTATTGTGTAATACAATGAAAAATATTGAAATGTTTACATTTTAATAAATATTATTTTATATAGGCTACTACAAGAATAAAACTAAATTTTCTGGATAAAATTGCTAAGTTTTGGGAATTGCAGGTATGTACAAATAAATGTTTAATTTTTCTTAAATTTAATATATATTTTATTACTGAAAATTTATATTAATATTTTTCTTTTTGTTTATACATTTTATAAAATAAAATATAAATTCAGTGTTCAATTTATGTCAAACTTTAACTCTTTTCATTTTATACATTAATGAGAATTAAATGAAAGTGTGTAGATTTTTGTAAGACGATCATGATTTTTTCTTTTAAATTTAAAGTTGTGTGCAGATACAACAAGAATTTAGTAGTTCAGTGAAATTTACTGAAATATTATTTGGTTAATAAGATTGTAATTTGGAAATGTAAATGTGTCTTCATACATTTGCAACTTTGTTCATTAAATATTCCAATAAGCTTATACTCTGATAGTTTTAAAAGTCTACTAAATTTATATCCTGTAAATTTTGTCCATTGGCAGTTTAATATGTAACCTGATAAAACTTGTTACTCTTCCTGTTTAATGTTACTAAATATTTTTATTTCAAAATAACAAAATTTTTTGTAATAATTTTTTAATATCTATTTGATTTGTGTAATTATAATTGTTTTAATTAAACTAATTGAAAAAGATTAGCTTAGTAGTTTATTCTTTTTCAAGATAATATGCCGTATTATAACATTACAACAATTAATGGAGTTTTTTTTTTATTCTTGGAAAAATATTAAAAACTTAATATTTTCATTTAAGATATCCATTATTATTAATACTAAGTTTTAAAAATTACTACTATATATAATTTTACGTAATAAAAATAATAGGGTTTATCAGAAAATTAGAGGAGGACAATAAACATTTAAAACATTTGGAAAGATTATATGGGTTATTTTATGTTTCTCATTACTACTTACAACTTTTCTATGTTGTTCACTACTTAGATTATTATAATTGGGACCCTTCTTCATGTCTGAGATGCTGTATTAATAAATACTTTTCTTGATAAAAGTATACACTCAATACAACAGTGCAATACAAATTCATAAACAACATATCACTAAATTAGAACATGAGAGAGATATGTCTATCTTTTCCTCCAAAAGTTGTTATGTTCAGCTGGCTAGCATTTTTTTTTTTATTCACATGATGTTACTTAGTGGTGCAAAGTATAGTCATCTCATAAAAAATTGTATTTGAGCAAACACAATTTTGTGCTTTAATATTTGTTTGTTGAGTATGAACAAATTTGTACATTGGAAACATGTTTTATAACAGACGAAAAATATCAGTCACATTCAATAAGAGAATCTCTCATTAACATTTATTCATTTATTTATTTGGATGTTATATAAATACATTATCTTTTCAAGATAACAGAAATGTTTTTTTTTGAGTTAAAATTTCTTGTTTACACTTACATTTAAATTACTTTTTTTTTTAAAAACAGTAATTTAAAATTCTATCTTGAAAGTTTCTTGTTTTACTCTGTTAAAAAATTTCTTTTTATATTTATATATATAAATTATGTAACTAAATTTTAATACATTTGTTTTAGATGTTGTTTTAATTATATTTTCAGGGATCATCATTAAAAATCCCAAATGTGGAAAGGAAAGCATTGGATCTCTATACTTTACATAAAGTAAGAATTATTATGTCACAATATTAATTTGTAGAAATAAATTATGCCATAATTTAATGAGTAACTTATTATACTATAATTTTAAAACATAATAATTAATGTTAATTCAGTTTAACTTAAATTTTTAACATGTATTTTTTGAATCTTATTTATTAACAAAAAAGCATATACAGCATATTAATGGGCTAATTTTTATTAAAATAAATAAAATTCTGCTATAAGATTTGATTGCTCAGCTATGTAAGATTTTGAATTATGAATAGATTTGTCTTTTCATGATCATACTGTACTTTGATAAAGAACTAAGTCAGAAAGTGTACAGAAAATAACAATTTAAAAACGGTTTTTAGAAATAAAGCAACTATAAGCATATTACTATTTATGCATAGGCTTTTTCAAATTCCTTAGTTTTCATAAATTTGAGATATTGTAGATCCAAAATTTCCACATTTTCTAAAGGAATTTTCATATATGTTGTTGACTTCATAATTAATTTATAATGTGGGTATAAAAACCTGTTAAATATATTTGTCTATTACAATGACAAAAATTTTTATTATATATATTTCAAGTAGATATGTTATTCCATATGAATTTAAACTGATTGTATTTGCATAACATGTAGTTACTCTAACTTTAGGAAATCTGTTAATTTAGATAAAATTTATGATGAATTTTAAGTTAAATGTATAGATTTTCAGTAGATCAAAAAATATTTATTAGAAACAAAGTTGTGCTAATATCTAGGCATATGAGATACAGTTGTGTGCATAGAAAAATAGTCATATTTTTCAGAAATATACTATATTGATTAAACAGCAACATTTCTCAGATATTTTATCTATACAGGGTACATGGTAAAGTCTTTATAATAAATCACCAAACGATTGCCTTAATATCGGGCTATAATATGGCTAATTAAATGATTAGTATAAAGTAATTTGACATTAGAGGTAGATGTTAGGCGCCATCTCTTAAGTAAATTAATAATTATAATTAAATAAATTTAGAACCTTCTGGAATAAAAGAACTGGCCCAGGACGGGTCTTGAACCCGTAATCTCCGCTTGCCGTGCGGTGTGCTTGCCAGTTACGCCACCTGGACCCCGAGCGAGTATTCGCTTCCAGAAGTATATTAAAGTCTTTATACACTAATGTAACTGATGAATGCAGATAGCTACAGTTATAAATGTGATGTATAATTAAAATAAAGTGATTTATGTTCTACAAGCCTGTTTGCAATGCCCCTAGTAGTAAAACTTGGAAGTTAGTGCTCCTGTCTCAAAAATAATGCATAATATGGAAAAAAGTCAATTACAAGGGTGCAGAGTATGACTGATTTTCATACAAAAGGACATCCTGTGCACATGAATAGAAAGCACAAAATTGTAATTTGTTGGTATTTGATTTCCATCGATGGTATGTCAGTAATGCTGTCACAAATCATGAGAAGCGAAACTGCATGTTTAGATATAGACATTGTGAATTGTTCCAACAAATAAAAAGAAGCTCAGTCCTGGATACAAATGTGTGTCTGCTTTTCTCACAATTTGCTGCTCTGGCAGGTTGTCCAAGTGTTGCATTATCTCATTCCAACAATCCAATTCACTAAATATTTTTTTTACTTTTAACTATTCTGTGTTGCATCCTATTTCATCATATATACTATATAATATAGTAATTTATTTACAATTATTTAATTTTCTTAAATCACTGAAAGCACTTAGAATAAGATACTGATTAATATATCAGTGCAACTTGGACTAATAGAAAACTTTTATTTAAAAATAAATTTTAGTTTTTTCATTTTATATAGAGTACATGTGAATACTAAAGTAACACATTTAAAAATTTTGATAATATAGTGTGAAATAGTTTGATTTGAAAATGAAATATTTATTATATTCTTATTTATGCACAATATTAATTTGTAGAAATAAATTATGCCATAATTTAATGAGTAACTTATTATACTATAATTTTAAAACATAATAATTAATGTTAATTCAGTTTAACTTAAATTTTTAACATGTATTTTTTGAATCTTATTTATTAACAAAAAAGCATATACAGCATATTAATGGGCTAATTTTTATTAAAATAAATAAAATTCTGCTATAAGATTTGATTGCTCAGCTATGTAAGATTTTGAATTATGAATAGATTTGTCTTTTCATGATCATACTGTACTTTGATAAAGAACTAAGTCAGAAAGTGTACAGAAAATAACAATTTAAAAACGGTTTTTAGAAATAAAGCAACTATAAGCATATTACTATTTATGCATAGGCTTTTTCAAATTCCTTAGTTTTCATAAATTTGAGATATTGTAGATCCAAAATTTCCACATTTTCTAAAGGAATTTTCATATATGTTGTTGACTTCATAATTAATTTATAATGTGGGTATAAAAACCTGTTAAATATATTTGTCTATTACAATGACATAAATTTTTATTATATATATATTTCAAGTAGATATGTTATTCCATATGAATTTAAACTGATTGTATTTGCATAACATGTAGTTACTCTAACTTTAGGAAATCTGTTAATTTAGATAAAATTTATGATGAATTTTAAGTTAAATGTATAGATTTTCAGTAGATCAAAAAATATTTATTAGAAACAAAGTTGTGCTAATATCTAGGCATATGAGATACAGTTGTGTGCATAGAAAAATAGTCATATTTTTCAGAAATATACTATATTGATTAAACAGCAACATTTCTCAGATATTTTATCTATACAGGGTACATGGTAAAGTCTTTATAATAAATCACCAAACGATTGCCTTAATATCGGGCTATAATATGGCTAATTAAATGATTAGTATAAAGTAATTTGACATTAGAGGTAGATGTTAGGCGCCATCTCTTAAGTAAATTAATAATTATAATTAAATAAATTTAGAACCTTCTGGAATAAAAGAACTGGCCCAGGACGGGTCTTGAACCCGTAATCTCCGCTTGCCGTGCGGTGTGCTTGCCAGTTACGCCACCTGGACCCCGAGCGAGTATTCGCTTCCAGAAGTATATTAAAGTCTTTATACACTAATGTAACTGATGAATGCAGATAGCTACAGTTATAAATGTGATGTATAATTAAAATAAAGTGATTTATGTTCTACAAGCCTGTTTGCAATGCCCCTAGTAGTAAAATTTGGAAGTTAGTGCTCCTGTCTCAAAAATAATGCATAATATGGAAAAAAGTCAATTACAAGGGTGCAGAGTATGACTGATTTTCATACAAAAGGACATCCTGTGCACATGAATAGAAAGCACAAAATTGTAATTTGTTGGTATTTGATTTCCATCGATGGTATGTCAGTAATGCTGTCACAAATCATGAGAAGCGAAACTGCATGTTTAGATATAGACATTGTGAATTGTTCCAACAAATAAAAAGAAGCTCAGTCCTGGATACAAATGTGTGTCTGCTTTTCTCACAATTTGCTGCTCTGGCAGGTTGTCCAAGTGTTGCATTATCTCATTCCAACAATCCAATTCACTAAATATTTTTTTTACTTTTAACTATTCTCTGTTGCACCCTATTTCATCATATATACTATATAATATAGTAATTTATTTACAATTATTTAATTTTCTTAAATCACTGAAAGCACTTAGAATAAGATACTGATTAATATATCAGTGCAACTTGGACTAATAGAAAACTTTTATTTAAAAATAAATTTTAGTTTTTTCATTTTATATAGAGTACATGTGAATACTAAAGTAACACATTTAAAAATTTTGATAATATAGTGTGAAATAGTTTGATTTGAAAATGAAATATTTATTATATTCTTATTTATGAAAACACTTTGAATATAAAATACAAATATATTTTGATAATGTTCAAAACACTTGTTTATTAAAAATGGAGACTTATAGATGATTATGATATAAATTAATTTTTTTAGATTGTTAAAGAAGAAGGTGGAATGGAAGTTGTTACAAAGGAGAGAAGATGGGCTAAAATAGCTTCTCGCATGGGCTATCCACATGGACGTAGTATTGGGTCATTGCTAAGGCAGCATTATGAACGCATTCTTTATCCGTATGATATATTTAAAAGTGGAGCAAGCATAAGAGAGATTGTAAGTCTCAAGATTTTTCCAAATAATAATAATTTTAATAAATGTTGAAGATTCCTGTTGTTGTTGTATGAATTAGAGCAAATGTATTTTTGTTATTACACAGTAATGAGTAAAAATGTAATAAATAACAAAGTAGATCTAATGTAGTAAATCCACTTACTACATTTAATGAGTAATGCATAAAAAGTCAGGAAATGATATTTTTTAATTTATTTTAAGAAAATGTGAACTGATATGCATAGTAATTAAAGCACCAAACAAATAATAGAATTTTCAGTTTTCAACAAAAAAGTACAGACACTTGTTAATTTCAGTCTTTTCAAATATTCTGCAATGTAAGTGTGTGCATTGTTTGCAGAGGAAGTGGAGGTTGTATTTACAGATGAAAAATTTTAGATACTGTGTTGTATTTTTTATCTATAAAAATTTTTAAAGTTTACTATTACTTATTACTATTTAGGTACTGTATGTAGTGTAAGATAAAATAATTTTGTAATAGTTTTAAGAATTACTTTTTAGTAAAATAAAATTATTGCTTTGTCATTCCTTTTTTATTTTATTTTATTTTTTCTTAGAATATTAGTGAAGAAACAGAAGATTCAGATAAAAAAGACAAAGATTACATTCCTCATGGTATTCCTTCTCGTCAAGCTATTAAACCACCTCCAGAACAGTATTCCAGGCGATCTAAACGTCATGCTAAAGAATCTGACATAGTATATAAAATTTTCTTCATATTTACTCTTAATTTAGTAGAAAAAAATTTTAATACGTTAAAATAGATTCACATTTGATTTAAAACATTGAATGCTGTTAGGTTAATTTTCTAGTACTAAACATTTCCAAAATACTCTCAGTATAACTTTTTGAATAGATGAAAAGCTTCCGTTGAAAAAAATTAGGTGTCAAATTTTATTCATAGTATTGATTTATTGATTTTTCACTGTGTAAGAAATAATAATTTCAATTTTATAACATAACAACAACAATAACAACTGCATAGTACTTTTATCAGATTATCAGATTATTTTATAAAGTTATCTTTTTGGCAACATGTAAAAAGTAAATTTGAGAAGTTACATTGCTTCCAGTTAGCTATTTCATGTCCGTATTTATAGAAAAAAAGTAAATTACTTTACATTTAAAGTTTTTACATACTTATACAGTAAAATCTGTCTAAAATGAATCCTTTACAAAGTAGAAACCTGTTTAATATGGAAACAGAAAACACTTTTGGAACCAATTTTATTATCTACTTTAATTCTGCTTTATTTAAATTATACTCCTGAATAAATTCTGAGTAAAGCAGAACTTTTTTACATAATATCGACTAAATTCTAAATTATAATTAATGCTATAACTTCTTAGAAGAGTTAGTTAATAAAAACATAACTCTATAAAACAGTCTGCCAAAATGGAAAATTCTGGCCAATACTGTTGTATTCCAATTTTAGTCTTTCCTGTGTAATTTTAATAGAAGAATAATTTACTTTTAAATAACATGTATAAGAGTAAATATATATATATATATATATATNTTAAAATAGCAGCAGATTACAATAATAGTTATTTAAATTAATAATTTTCATTTACATCAGAAAAACAATTAACATTAAGGTGGCAATTATCATGCCACTTTTAAATGCAAATTAATTTGCATTTAATAGTGGCATGATAATTACCTTTAGAAATGTCCAATGTCCCGCTATTTCTATGTTAAAAAGTTAATTTGAACTAGATACCGATAGTTATAGAAAAATTTTTGATTTAAAGAAAATTTTTTTTAAAATGAAATAACCCAGTGTTATGCTCATATAATTTTGCTTATGAATATATTAATATATTTTTTACAACATTATGTATATATTTATTTATTATAGCAATGAAAAACTTTTATAATTAATTTAAAGTGGTTTTAATTTTGACAAGTACATTTATTGTTATTTGGTCTTATTTTCAAAATAGTTTATTTAATAACCTTCAAAAATTTTCATGGCATACCTAGGATCCTCTCTTGGCAGACCAGTTGAAAATCATTGGTATATAGTATAAGTCTAGTTGTTCTCATCTCTCACTTATGGTGGCCAACTTTACTCCACTGTGGGTTAGACTCACCGATAATGGATGAAATTGTGACTAGTTAATCGTAACATGTTGTTGCCTCATGTTTACAAAAATCAGTCAGTTATATCTAGTACAGAAGTAATGTTTGGTACAAATCACTGTATTTTTTTAAATTTAGATTTTACTTCAACATATCACAATACAGTAGATGTACTGTATTAATAACGAACAACTGCACGCCGGAGTTTAATAAACAACACGTACCTCAGAAACCTTTAACCAATGTGATTAAAGGACTACTTGAAGAAGGACCCAGGAGGGATCTAAAAACATTTGTATTGTTAAATTTTAGTTTGCATCAGTTAAAGGTATCTGAGGTACGTATTGTTTATGTACTGTATTGTTTGCACTATACAGAAATTTGTGTAAAACTATTAAAATTAAATAATCACAAAAATATTTCACAAATATATATATAAAAATACAAGAAAAGATGGCTTGTTTCAAAGCTGGTATGCTAATTAATAAATTATATGATTCTCAAACACAAGACAGTGCTACTATTTAAACACTTGGCATTTTTTCATCTTTATTCAGTTGATAAGAGTATTACTACATGTTTTGGGCACTGCTCCTTGTGTAGTAATACTTGTATCAACTGAATAAAGATGAAAAAACGCCAAGTGTTGAAATAGTAGCACGGTCTTGTGTTTGAGAATCATAATTATAAAACACAGTTTCAGAAAATTGAATTCTAATTATTATTTCTTTTTATGATTATAGTAATAATTAGAATTATTATACTTCTAATTATTACTATGTATGCAAAACAGTGACATTTATACTTTTATATTAAATTTTATTAATAATTTAATTAAAAAAATAACAAATTGTAATTACAAAATAAATTCAGTTAATTTTTTCTAAGTACATTAACTTATCAATGGTAGCTATTCAAATAGTTAAAAAAATTTACTACAACTTGACCTATTTATTTCCTATAGATTATCTTCATTCATAAATATGTATTCTAGCTTATTTTGCATGTTTAACTGTAACAGCAATTAACATAATTCCATTTAATAGAGATTTTATAATTTCTATTCTTCATCTGTTGTTTAGTTTATTATTTCAAATAGATTTTGATTTTTTTAAATAAATCAAAACAAACTACATTAAGTTTTTACTTATAGAGGAGCATTATTTAGGAATAAAAAATAAAAATGCATTTTTATTTGTGGATAGTATCAAAACAATAAATTAAAGAATGATCGTACCTTATTGAAGTCTTATCTCATTGATCTTATATTTATACAACTGTTATGACACTGATATTATATGACTAAGATTGTGTTTCTAATATGATATTAAATGACTAAGGTTTTTCTTTTTGAACTTTGACCTTTAAATGCTTTCCTTTGTAAAGTTCTTGTTTCTTTGATATCAGATTGTTAGTGTTTTGTTTCAGTGCACAGTAGGCATTTTATGTTGCTATACAAGATTTCAGCCATCATTCTTAATGGATTAAACAGACCCTTAGCCTAAACATAAAAATGAATAGTTTATATGATAAAAAACCAATAATATGAACTATTTATCATTTAAGTTTTATAAGAATATAAATTTTTTTTATTTTTCTAGTTCAGAATAAGAGAAGTTTTTCTGCTGTTGTTAATCTCTTTAAAAGATAAATACAACAATAATTTACAAATTTAAAAGTTTTCATTACTGTTATTATAATAATACATTTTTAAAATATTAATATATATTCAACTTGTGTTGCTTGATGTTGCTATATTTATATCACCAAATAGGAACATCTGCATCTATCATCAACTGTGTTTTCCTATAAAACAGTGTACTGTGTATCTTGAAATATTTTGTCCTGATGATTGCATATTAAATTATAGTAATGAATTAATCTGTCCTAAAAAATAAAATTTTATGTTTTCTTGATTCTTTGAACATTCTTTTTTTGAAATATAAATTTCTGAATTGCTTGGTAATATTTTGTAATTACATAGTGATTTTTATTGTTTGTCACTTATGTTTGTAGATAATTCAAAGAAACTATTTTAGATGTTTTTCTCATGAAAATTGAAGAAAAAGTTGGGTGAATGGACATGATATCAGTCAATATTGATTAGATACCAAATTACTACTAAAAATTGATAATAAATAAAAGTTAGGAAGATTAGGTTTAAATCAAACTCCTTAATGCAGTAGGAGGTTTCTTGATATCCATTTGATTTACCAAATGTATGAATAAATGTGTGCTAAAAAAAAGCACTAAAATGATTTTTAAAATATCTCAATTAGTTTTTCTATACATTGAAATTGTTATATTAAACAATAAATATAATCAAAATTTGAGTATTAAACGAAATATATTAGTTTGTTGGCTTAGAAATTCAAAATAGTGTGAAATTATTTAATATAATATTTATGTATATAAGATATTATGTAACATAAACTGATTTTATAAACACAAACACTAGCCGTAACAAAAATTTATTGTAGGTATACTTCAAAATTTTTTGAAGTTCTCAAAGTTACTTAAAACACATTAATTGTTCATATTAAAAAATTAATTTAATTATATAATTATTGTTTTTGAATACAGTAATACCTCGACTTACGCTACCCCAACTTACACGTACCCGGAGTTTCGCGATTTTCAAATCTCGTCGACTCATCTTTTGAGATATGTTTGAGCACCACGCAACTCTTGATTACTCGCTTCCCCCACACTATTGTTTAGCTTACATGTTAGGACGTGTCGCACGGAATTGGCACATAGCTACAATTTATTTCTGTGTTTGTTATATCTATGGAGACTTGAGAGACTCTATGTGGTGATTTCTTGTAATCGTGAACGAATCAAAAGACGAGATAAAATTAACGAGAACATTAATTAGCTTACATACATCCGACTTGGATTTTACACAAATTGAGAAATTATACCCCGAGTTACGCGAATTTGACTTAGTCGGTTATCGCTCGGTCCCACCTATCGCATAAATTCAGGGTATTACTGTATTTTATAAGTGTCTAAAATTAATCATGATAGATATTTTAAATTATTTCATAAAAATTTATTGTATTAAAAAATGACAAGATATATTTTGAAAAAAATTTAAGTAATCATCAAATAATACAAACAATTTAAATTTGTAACTGTAAATTGTTCAAATTTTATTTACATTGGTGAATTTTATTTAGTGTTATTCACTCACATTGTTTTATAGTTTTTGTGTAAATTTCATAATTTTTAATAGATTGAAGTTGTAATAGTTTTTGTCAGTTTGCCTGAAGAAACAGTTGTGGCAGTAAATTGTTTATGAATCAAAGTAAAAATTTTGAATTTTCTTTTAAATTAAACAATCTTAATGATGATAAAGCATATTATTATAAAAATGAATATTTTATGTGAAATGTGTATTTGAAAATATGAATTCATTTAAATCAAACCAAAATAGAAAATGAAATTAACAGGAGTTTTTAAATGATTTGCATTAAATTTATTACAAAGAAAAATTACAAATTTTTTTTTCAGGATGATATTGATTATTCTACTAACAATGAACTAAAAAAATTGCAGTTTTACGGAGCTGGTCCAAAAATGCCAGGTTTCTGTGCACAGAGTAAGTATGTGAAATTAATAAAAATTAAATCTTTTAAAAAACAATTGTATTATCACGATTTACAAAATATTTTAAATAATACAAGAGGAAGTTATTTTATTATGTTACAAACTGACACCAAAAATAAGTAAGAAAACTTTCACGTGTATATTGTTGAAAAAGAATGTTCTATGTAAACATTCAGACACTTGTTTAATGTGTTTTATTATAGAAAAAACAGTTATTTTAGAGAACTCAAAAAACAAAAAAATATTGGAATTAGGCAGCCTATGCCATTATTTCTTCATATGAAATAATTAATTAAAATAAGTTTGTTTTAGATTTTAATTAAACTGAGTTTATAAAATTAATTTTTTTTGTATAAAAAATTAGAAATTTGATTTTAATGTGTGTAATATATGTAATTTGAAAGAAACTTAAAATAACTTCACACTGTATAAAGAAAATTAATGAACTTTTTGTGATAGTACTTAAAATCTGTAATATGTCATCACTTATAATCTTTGATCTGGTCCCTTCACAGTATTAGATCTATTTGATAAATTTCCTATTTAAGAATAGTAACAGAAATAAAAAAACATTAAAAAAGTTTTTATAAAAGAATAAAAAACAGTTTAAGACTTTTCCCCCCTAAAGAGATTACAATTATGATTTTAAAGAATAAAATTTGATAATTGTATTTATAAAATTTAATAAATTATAAAAGTTAATTTTTAATCTAAAATATTTATACTTATTTATATTTTTAAATAATTTATATTAAAGAAATCAATTTGCTAAGTACTTTATAATTTTTTTTAGCAAAACAAGAAGTAGAAGAATGCACAAAATCACAAATGTTAATTAAGCGTAAAGAAAAAGGAAAGTGCAAATCAACACCTGTAAGCAACTGATTGTAAATTATAAACAATTAAGATATCGGTCTTATATAATACATTTTATATATTTAAAGTATTAATATGCTTTTGTTTTTTATGAATTTACATTAATATAATTTTTTGTAAAACTAATTAATAATGCAACATAATTTGCAGTTATTGTTTTTATCTTTTTATTAAGAAATTAATTGTTTTTTTGTGGGTATTTTTTTGTGGAGAACCTGTGTCATATTATAATTAGAAGATTTAGTCTACAAAACATCATTTATATATTCAAATGCAATGTAACAGATCTTTTTCTATATTTTATTTGATTGCAATATATTTTTTATTATATATATATATATTTACATGTTAAATAATGATAGTCAAAGAAATGGGTTTGATAAAGCTACTTTTAAAAATTATTTCTAGGAGCAAAAGTAGTAGTTAAATTCAGTGGTGTATGTATGTATGTATGTATGTATGCATGCATGCATGCATGCATGCATGCAAGTGTACAGTACATATACATAGTAATTTAAATTATATAATTTTTCAGTTATAAACAGAAATATATATGACAGAAAATATTTTTATCTTGGCTAATGATTAGAATATTTTCTTCAAATTCTATACTTAACAACAATATTCTATTCTGAATATGCACAGTTTATATAATAGTATATTTAACATAATATTAGTTGTTAAATATAAATGTTTTTTGTTATGGATATAAAAACAAAAACAAATCAATTCTACAGGACTTTTGGATATCAATATTTGCAACTGCATCTAGCTAACTGAAGGATATAAACTTGGCAACAACATGAAAATAGTAAAAATTATTCTAATCTTATCAAATAAATAACAATTCATATTTTTCATTATTTAAATTATTAGATAACTTTATCAGTTTAGTATACTGAAAAATTATTGTTTTTGGTGTGCTTTATTAATGATTAATACTATGAAGATTTAATGGCATAATTTTAAAAATATAATTTGCTGTAAGTGATGTGTGATTGATATGAAAATCGTAAAAGTTGTAGTCATATAAAAATTTTGAACAATAATTGACAGTTAGTTAAATTGTCTTATTTTATGAGGGGGATTACATTGGTTATTTACTAAATATAAAGTATAGAAAATGGCTGCTATTGTAATAATATATTTGTTATGGATGAAATTTTTTGATAGATTATTTACTAGTATAATTTTACTTTCTTCAAATTCTTGTTTATTTTCATTATCAACATGAACTATTCCAAGAAATGAGGGAAGAATTTTCAGGCAAGAAATTTTTTATTCTGAAATAATGATTCTCAGTTACTGATTCAAGGAAAATTTTACTAGTCTACAAAAGAAAAAGCAAACAAAAGTTCACAAAACATTGATTATACTGTGTATAATTAGTTTAATAAAATCTCTTTCATATTGTATGTTGTTATAATTATATACAAGATATCAAGTTGTTTTCACTTTCCTCATTGCATTTACTATTTTATTTTAAGTCATTCATCAATAAAAATATTCCAAAATATATAAATAATTGAATAATTAATTTCAATAGTCTATTCTAAAAATTATATATATATATATATATAACTGAGAATTTTATATTTTTCATTACATTAATAATTGGTGTTTTATTATTCTGTACAGTCGATCCCCCTATAAGACGGTAGATACGTTTCGTTCTTTATGAATCAATTTTGTAGGAATCACAGCCTGACACGTATGAAGTTTACAGACTACGGCTGTTTGAAAGGTTTTCTTTCATAAAATTAATCGATTCTAGACTAATTCGACTCAACATTTCCAAAATACGTATATTTTTTTGAAAATAATCCGTATAAACTACGTTATAAACAAAAAATTGTAGGATTGCTTACCGAGTGTGTACCGTTCGACTACGCCCGTTGCTAAAGCTTGGTTTCGTCGCGGAACAGCGCATCAAACCGCGGCCGCGATTTCTGATATTATTTTTCTGCGAAAACTTCGTTGAACTTTGGAGACATCATTAATATAAATAATTTTAATCGCCGTTGAATAAGAAATGTTTCTTTCACAAGAAATGTATAAAATTACAGTACTGTATTAGACTTACGGTACCTAATTTACATACTGTATAGACGATAGCTCGCCTAAACTGTCCATAGTGTGGCGCTAGACGGTGGAAAGTATATATATAATTATAATAAAGTTAGAATAAATTAAGTTAATATATAATTATATATACAGTACCTAATTTATATATAATTATATGTACAGACGATACTAAAGTCAATTTACCCGCCTAAACTGTCCGTAGCGTGGTGCTGGACGGCGGAAAGTAGTTCAGCTGCCCGATGACGTTTTACGTAATTATAGGAGTTTTTTTACCATTGTTTACGGATACCTCCACAATTTTTTTCGCCGTCTTGTAGGAATCGTAATTATAGGAACCCGTCTTATAGGGGGATCTACTGTATATACATTTTTGTTTGCAGTATGAAGTTTTATCAGTGTAATTTTAAAAGTGAGATTTAGGTTTCAGATTTTGATATTGATGGTGCTATTTTTACTCTAACAATACTATAATATTGCTATAAGAATTTTTCTTTGATTGCATTTAATCTGCATATTGGTACAATTCATTTAAAGTTTGTAGTGTTCAAACTAAAAAAGCTTTACAAATGTTTTTTGTTATATCCATAACAGAAAAGTCTATAAGAAAATAAGTTTTAAAAAATGCAAAAAATGTTACAAGAACTTTGAGACACTTAACAAGTTGTTTATGACAGCATTGATGAAAAGAATTGCTCTCGGCAGTCTCATGTCATTTAGTTCCTTGACTAACAACAAAAGAAATTGAAGATATATTTACCATATCAAAATTATAATAAAAAAAATATTGATGGTCATTTTAAATTAATGAGAAATAATAAAATAATGGAAATGATTTGCAAGTATGATATTCAGCAGTAGTCTATAACCTTTTAACTTAGTACTTGAGGACTGCTTTCATTTGAAATGAAGGTAGTTGGACCACAAGATAATTTTATTCTATACTGAGCAAAGTGAGACAATTTACAGTTTATCGGAGCAAAGATGACTTAGTTATAGTATTAACTATTTTTTATTTCTGTTAATACAATTTGGCAATATCACATATGTGGCCAATATTGCACCCCACAATAATACACACTGTTAAAAGCAGAAATACCATCTTACTAAAAATGCCATACCTGGAAAGATTTTTTGAAGTTAGACAACTTTTTTTATGTTTATGTTTGTCTTCTGGACTGCATATAATGAATTAATGAGCTCTTGGTATGCATTATTGATATGCAGTTTGGTATTTAGTATTACTAAAGAATTAGATTTCATTATAAAACATTTGAAGTTTTTGGGTTGTTTCTAAAAAAATCTATGAAATGAAAAATTGGATTTTATGTAGTGATTTAGAGAGATTATGATAATGGCTTATGAAGTTGCATTCTTTCTCTTAACAGATAAACTATATTCTTTTCATATGAAGATTGTGATTTTTATCACAATTTAAAGAAATTTGTTTCTTTTTTGATTCTTTTAAAGTTGTTTATTATGAATTATTAAAAAAGCAAAATAGTAAAGATAAAAGTTGTTCTCAATAGATAATTTAGGGATTATAATGACTTTATATCATTAGCAAATGTAATGAAGAATTATTTTTTATAAGCATATACATTGCAATGATACTGTAACAAAAGTTAAACTAGGAAATAGTTATCCAGCTTTTTATTCTACAGATATTATTCCTTCTGATTTACCATTTATTTTGAATTTATTTAAAATGTTTTAAATGAAAGAAATTTAAAAAATAAAGGATATTAAACATTATCATAAAATTTCAATTCAATATATGAAGAAATAGCCTGATAAATAAGGAATTATTTTTAATAAATAAAAGTTGTATTTTACTTCATAAATATGAAATTTCTGTAAACCCATTATTAATTCATAATTAAGTTGAGAAATATACTTTCAAAATATCAGGTAATTATTACCATGAATTAAATAATAGTGTTATAATTTAAACAGATACAAATAATAATTGAAAAACAAAATCATTTAATTTTTTGTAGTTTGATTAATTAGCATTTTAAAATTTATCATTATTGCAATTCCTCTTCATTTTATTTTCATATACTTTTACTTTTCTTCCCATAATCCTTATTTCAATTTTGTATAATCTAATATATATGAACCTGAAAAACCAGATTCTTTCTTTCTTTCTTTCTGTCACTGTATGTAACAAATGGCCACTAGGGGTGCCCCTAGCTATTATTTAAATTAATAATAAATTCAGTATATTATTACTTGATGCAGTCTTTTTCATTTTTGGTTGCATTTTAGTAGGATACGCCTTGAGAAATTCAGTATATTATTATTTTTATTTGTAACAGGAATTTATTATTTATACCATGGAATGACATTGCTACTGCTAGAACACCCACTAGGGGACGTCCCAGGCTACTAGAATAGAAGGATTAGAAGTACGAAGTAATCTAATAATTTTAATCTTTGTTGTTTTTTGCTCGGGCAACACTGGGCTCATCTGCTGGTTGCATTATAAATTTTTTCTCTGTAGGCAGACAAGGACCTCAGTAATGTTGGTCTTGTACAGTACATGGTTTATTCACCAAATTTTCATTTAACTTTTTTGACACTGATCACAATATGAATTACAGATTGATGTGAGTCATGGGCAAAAAACATGAGGCAGAAGTCATATGATTAAAAATCAAAAAATTATTGTGGGTTGCAATTTTTAATCATATTTTAATTTAAAAATTCACATTATTTCAACCAGAACTTTGTATGTGATTAATTGGGGCATTTAACCCCTAAGTTTTCCACATCTTGTTTTGATTTTTATCTATCTAACTCTGTTCTCAAGATTAAGGAGGGACAGACAGATGACAGTGGGAATCTCTAGGTCTATAATTTGAAAATTTCAGTCCAATGAGGTGTATTTTGAGTGTTTAACTTTAGAGTTC